GGGTAAACGTGGCCAAGTGTCGGCCCGTCCGAGCAGATGTGCAGTGGGTCACGCGCTGACTCGCAGGAGTGAACTGGTCAACTCCCCCATCCTGCAGGTCAGCACCACTCACCATGTTCGTAGAGAACGAGGGGAGGTAAAGACCTTACAGGGAGCCAGACGGGGCCGCCAGACACTGTAGTACAGTGGAGAAGTGGGCAAGGAGAGGACCCCTAGAGGGGTCTGCTAGGGAGACCGCAACCGGCTGACTGAGCGGCGTGAGGGTGGTGCGGTCTCAAAAGAAGGAGCGCGAAGCACCCGAGTCAAGGGTGAAGGTGTGCAAAGCCTGACTAGACGTGGTACCTGAGAGAGCAGACTCACCAGCACCTGGAGCAGTAGACTCACTAGTACTTGGAGCAGCAGACTCGCGAGCACCTAGGGCAGCAGCTGCAATGCCCGGGTCAACAGTGAGTGTGGTGGGGCAAACAGAGAGGAAGTGGTCCCTGACCAAGCGAAGGGAGTCACGGAGTCGGGTGACTTGGTAGTAGAGGGTGATGTACATAGGGGGGGGGGTTCTTGGCGCATAACTTAGCAGGAAGCGCAACGCGGTAGCGGGTGTCTTTAGTGCGGAGGTGCGTTATGAGGTCAGTGACTGTGGCAAAGGCGGCGAGGTCAGGGAACAGGTACGGCAACATGAGGCAACTGAGGGCAGCAGTGGCAGGGGAGGAGAAGCACGCAACTACAGCGTCGTTCAAGGTCTTAGCAGTCTTGTACTGGATAAAATGCGCGCGCTGAATGGACGCCAGGTGACTACGCACAGCAAGACGGGCAGCAGCATTGCGTGTGGTCCACTGTGAGCGAACAGTACTGTCAGCATCGGCAGTAGGGGCAGTAGAGGCACCAGACGTGAGATCGAACAGTGAGAGGTCGTGTTTGCTATCGCACTGCAGGAAAAGCTGCAGATCATCTATCGAGACCTCAAAGTCTACCGCTCGACCCTCAGCATCAAAGGTAAGACTGTTGGGACTAGCCATAACAGCAGCAGTAGCAGGCTAGCAGAAGCAGTAGCAGAAGCAGGTTAGCAATAGCAGCAGCAGCAGGGGCGCGGCTCGGCGGTGCGCTTACCCGGGGCGGGTGGGTAGAAGCCCGCAAGTGGTGGGGCAGGGCCGAGGTGTGCTGGCAGGACCAGGGCCGCGACAGGGCGGCAGAGCAGGGCCGCGACTCGGCTGCAGGCTAGGGCCGGCACGGCGGCAGCGGCTGCGAGGAACGGCGGCGGCCACGACGAACGGCGGCGGCGGCTGTCACGGCTGCGGCAGCGGCGGTTGTCTCAGCAGCAGCGGCGGCAGCTGTCACGGCAGGAGCGGCGGCGGCTGTCACGGCAGCAGCGGCGGCGGCCGTCACGGCAGTTGCGGCGGCGGCGAACGGCCGTGGCGGAAGCGGCAGCGGCAACAGGCGCGCCGGTAGCTGCTGCTGGGGCGGCGACGACGGGGCGGCAGGGCCGCGGAGAGCCGCGGAGGGGCCGCGAAGGGGCCGCGAAGAGCCGCGAAGGGGCCGCGGAGGGGCCGCGAAGGGGCCGCGAAGGGCTGCGAAGGGCCGCGGAGAGGCCGCGAAGGGCCGAGAGGGGGGCAACGAAGGGTCGCGACGAGGCCGCCAAGGGCCGTGAGGGGGCGGCGAAGGGCCGCGAAGGGGCCGCGAAGGGCCGTGAGGGGGGCCGCGAAGGGCTGCGAAGAGGGGGCCGCGAAGGGCCTTAGGAGGGGCCGCGAGGGGCCGCTAAGGGGTCGCGACAGGGGCCGTGAAGGGGCCGCGAAGGGGGGGGGCGCTAAAGGGGCCGCGAAGGGGCCACTAAGGGGCCGTTAAGGGGCAGGCCACTAAGGGGGCCGCGAAATTTTAGGGCAGGACGCGAAGCGCGCTTCGGGCAGGCTAAAAAAGAAAAAATCGAAGGTGGGCCCTTAGGAAGAAACGGTTCTACTAGGGAATCCGCTCTATACCATGCGAAGAATGAGGAATGATTGAACTAGGAAAATGTTGGATACAAATATGAAACTCTAGAAACCTGTACCCCTTTGTGACTACCCCAATAGAGCCTACAAAGACTAAGTCATACATATCTGACATAGGGAGTCGAGGAGCTTGATGGCACGCTCCTTCTCCGTGTCGCGGGCGAGATTGTCGCTGTTGATCCGTGGCTGCGAGACTGCTTTGGCGAGGAGCTTCTCCTGGTGTTTAAACCCCTCCTTATGCTTGGTTGTTGCCGCATGCCGTTTGAACGCCTGCGTCTGAACGTCCGTGGCGCCCTTTCCGCCTCTCCCGCACGGTCCAGCGTAGCCTGCGTGCTCCGTACAGATGCTGCACTTGAAAGCAGGGAAACCGTCGGCAATTTTTAGCAGAATTAGCCACGAAAACCGATCTAGCTACTCGCTTTTGTACTTATACAGAGCCTCTGCGTAAGTTGCGTCTGGCCCTGTCGGTTTAGAAGGCCCAGGTGTTGATGGCGACGCCTGCGTGCCTGCGGTCGCGGGCGTCAACCATTGGTCGGCTGGCAAAGACGGTGTTGCTTCAGCGGTACCTCCTTTCTTGCCCCGCGTCAGCGTTGACTGCATGTACCTGGCGGATTTCTTAGCCACTGGTAGAGCCGCAGTTTCTTCAACTGAAGGGTTGGAGCTGTCTTGCTCCAACACGGGCGCAGTAGGGGAGGGACATAGAAGCTCGTCGATGGGTTCAACTGGAATATCGACGGGCGGCGCCTTTCCATGGTTATCAGCTGCCGCTAAATTGGAGAACAACAGATCCAGTCCGGTAACAGCAGCGGACAGATCAACAGGCGCACGACGATCGGCTTCATCGCCGTGGTCACCACTTTGTTCAATGGCATTTGGGTGGTCCGCCATTGATTGCAGCTCGACCAAGCAGTATCTAACAGGACTAACGAGCTCGCCTGACGATAGAGGTTTGCCAGGAAGAGAGAACACACGGCTGACTGCCTCTTGGTACACAAGGCAGCAACGCGATGAAACCCCAAGCAGTTCGATGGAAGGCCTGGAGCAGAACGGGATGTGAGCCTGGATGGCATGTAGCACGACTGGGAGGCTGGATGCTTGCCAGCACGACCTAGACAACCAGAATCCCTCGCAGCGCAGCCTGCCAGCATCGTTGTGTTGCAACCTTGTAATTGGTAAAGTCACATAATGTTGCAAATGTGGCCAATGAACGGACCAGGCGCGCCAACTAAGGGGCCATCAGTGTGGGCAAAATCGTCCGATAGTAAACGACAGGCCCTGCTGACACCGCGGGAATCTGATTTTCCTAGTACTTCCGGTCAAGTACACTCGTACCTAGTAGGATTCGTTTTCAGGGTCAAACTCATTACAACCTAAAGGCATCAGTGTCACTTCAAAAAAATTGCTGAAAGTTCAGAGTCATGTGGCATGTGAAGGCTGAAAAGGCAGCCCTAGGAAAAGCTGAACACTGGATTTTCAGAGTAGGTACAAAAAAAACACTGTAAATCAGGAATTTCAGGGTAAAATTCCTGATATCGTAGGGCCTGGTGACGACTTGGTCCAAGTGAGCACATGGTTGACGTGAGCACTTGTTCCAAATGACTTCTTGGTCCTACTGACGAGACGAATTGGTCCAAGTTAGCACTTGGTTCAAGTGACGCCTTGGTAACACTTGGTCCAAAGAACGACTTGGTTCAAGTGAGCACTTGATCCAACTGAGCACCTGGCGTGCATTTCGTAGCCTCAAGCACGTCTGTGTCATTCAAAGTATGTCTGGCAGTTGTTCATAGCTGATTTGTAGTTGAGTTGTCATTTTTAACATAGAAAGCAATTTGTTTTTTCTTATAGGCAACATGTTCTGTTTCATATGTAGTTCTCTGTTCTGAATCTTGTGTAATAGTTTCTGTATTCCTGATGTCCCGCTCGCCAATAGAGCACTGAGTACCCATCTCATCATGTGCTGGCATATCACATCCTTCCGATAGGCTGCTGTTGACTCGTGAAATCTTTTGTTCGCACTGCTTGCGATAAATCAATCCAACACCACTGGACAGTTCGATCCTCCACGTCAGGGTGGAGGACAGCAATCCGCGATGTTGGGGATTGTCGTAAGTGCCCCCCTACAGAAATATCAGTTTCGCCGTTTTCTTGGTCGCTCGCAGTCTCTGTTGTGATTCGGTGTAGGCTGGAAAAGTGATATTCCACGTGTGACCTCTCGTCCTAATTTGCCTGATGGTGATCCTAAGTCATTCTATCGAGGTCATCAAGTTGCCTCGAGATAGGTTTTTCCTGACATTCGTGCGCCCCGATTTCTCCTTTCCTTTCTCCTGCGTTCGAGCCCCTGCCTGCCGTCACAATGTCACTAGTGCGAACTGCACCTGAATTTGGAAAATTCCTAGACATTTTTGTAGTGTAGAGTGCGTTTCTACGCTTCTAAAAGCGGTTATGTGCGTTCCTGCTCTGTTCTCCACCTCCTAAAGTCTTACCTTGTCTAGTGAAAGAGAGTGTTCCTGGTTCCACCAGGCGGTCTCAAGGTAGCGCAGCTCCTAGTTGGTCACTCCATCTTGCCATCAGCCACTGTTGCCAGTCCTGCACTCCAGCTGCTAGATAGTGACCCTCTTGTAGTTATAGATTTTGGCTTTAGAAGTTTGTGTCCTGCACCGTGGCTCACCTCATCGTATGCAGCGTTGGCCCGTCAAACAATCGGGTCCCATAATTTATAACAATTCCTCTAACTCCTAGGCTACATTTGTTCATAATATGGCGCCAGTAATGCAACCTCGCGTGTACACCCAAGCGACGGGCTTGGTCCAGCAACCAATCAGTGCACGGTCCGTTTCAGGAATTCACGTTTCTCTTCCACCTCGTTCTACGAAAATCGTATGCACTCTCTCCATTCCTTCAAACTCCACGACGGATCTTCGCACGTCCGCTAGCGCCACTTCTGCAAGCCACGTCAGCTCCACCTCAGTTTCCACGTCAGCAGCTGCTGCACCTTCCGGGAGCACCAGCGTGGCGCCGCCAATGATGTCGTCAGCGTCAGCAGTATCGCCAGCAACGGCCGCGCGCTGCCCCTTCACTGGGCGACTAGCGGCCGTGGCAACCATGGTAAGCAGCACTCCCGCGAAGACACCGAAGAGGACCTCCCGGCACCCATTCCAGATCCCCACCCGCGTAAAATGATTCGACCCAAAGCCCCACACGTTCCCCGTCCAGGGCGAGTCGCTCTCACGCGAAGATACAGAAGCAGACATACCAGTACCCATACTGTTCCCCCACCCACGAAGCGTGACTCGACTCAAATCCACTCCTTTTTTTCCCGCACGTTCCCCATTCAGGGCGAGTCGCTCTCACGCGAAGATACCGAAGCGGACCTCCCGGTACCCATCCCGGGTCCCCACCCGTGGGACATAGTGGGCAACGTGCGTGATCTGAGCGCGATCGCGCTGCGCGGGATCGAGGAGGCGACGCTGCTGTACGGGCGCAAGTACGGCCCGATCTGTAGGTTCGCCAACGGCGTGAGCGCGTGGACTTTCGTAAACGACGCGGAGATCATCGCGCACATCTGCAGCTCCAACTCCAAAAACTACTCGCGCAGATTCCTGCCCGTGAGTCCGCGCTCGTCTTCTTCTCTAGGCTCGCAAAGCGTTTCTTGACTCTCCTTTATGCCAATTTTTCCTTCTCCCTCCCCCCACCCCGTGACGCACGGCTGAGCGTCTCTTGACTCAGGACTCTCCTTTCCACCGGCTTTTCCCAACTGCCTTTCCCCACCAGGCGGTATACGAGTACGTGACGCATGGCAAGGGCATTCTGGGGTCGCAAGGGGAGTACAACCGCGCGCACCGCCGCATGTGCCAGCCGCCTTTCATGCGCCCCAACCTGCTCGACGCCTTTTCCGATACCATCCAGTCACAGGTAGGTCCTGTGACGGTCTAAGGACGTCACTAGTCTTCATGTCATCTCTCTCCTCTCATCCATCCCTCCATCCTTCATTACCATTTGCCCACCCCATCCCCCAAATTTCATCCCATTCGTTTATCCCTGATCCTCCCTCCGCCCTTTCCTCACCCGTCAAGTTGCCACTCTCCCGTCACTCGCTTCATCCTGAACCCACTCAACCTCTGCCAACACTCGCATCATATCCCCATCCTACCCCACTCCCCGCCATCCCTTCCCATGGCAAGCTAGAAAATCGTCTATCCTATCCCACGACACTGTGCTGCCATGAAGCCGCCACAGACGCCAGTTCACCCTTTCCTTCCCCTCCCCACTCGATCCTATCCCACATCACCCACTTCCCGCAACTATCACCCTTTCTCACGAGCAGCTAGACAAGCTCATCACAATGTGGCGCCATCAAGCCACCACAGACGCCGGCTCACCCCTCCCCAATGTTGTCCTCGACGGGAATCTAGCGGTCCAGATCCAACGCTTCACGCTCGACATCATCGGAGCCGTCGCTTTTTCCAAAGACTTCGGACAGCTGGACCGCATCCGAGCCGACCCTGCAGGCTCGGCGACCCAGGCGGACGCCGGAGCTGACGAGCTGCTAGGGGCGGTGAACGAGTCGCAGCAGTTGATGGCAAACGTGTTCATCACGCCACTGCCGGTGCTGCAGCTGCTGCGGAGGTTCGGGGAACCAGGGATGCTGCGGTTGGATGCGGCGATGAAGGCCATGGAGAGGGTTATGATGGGTGTAATCGAGGAGCGGAGAGAGAAATGGCGCGCAACGGGGGACGCTGGAGATGATCTGCTGGGAGTGCTGCTAGGCGCCACGGTACGGCCGTTGGGAATGGGGTGAGGGGAAGGTTGTTTGGGGTTGTGGAAGAGGGTGAGACAGCTGTTGACGCGTGTGGGTGGGGTGGGGGGGGTCTGTGCAGACGTTGCGGAGGGTAAGAGATTCTGAGGGGGCTAGAGAACTGAGGCACGCATGGGTTGTGGTGGGTGTGACTGAGGAGCGGCGAGGGAGCTGGCGCGCAAGGGGGGGAACGCTGGTTAGGTGCTAGGGTGCTGCTAGGTGCTGCTAGGGTGCTGCTAGGTGCCACGGTAAGGCCGTTGAGGGGGGAGGTCTGTGGGGGATGTGAGGGTGTTCGGGCGGATGATTAGCCTTGAAACCCCCTTTGCCCCCCTTGTCCCACCCATGCCCCAACCCCCAATAGCTCAGCCCTCCGCCTCCCTGCGTCCCCCACTTCCTTGCTTCCTCTCCGCCTCCCCTGTGTCGCCAGGACAAGCAGGGGCGGCCGCTGCAGGACGAGGAGCTGTGGGAGGACGTGCACGACGTGATGGGCGCGGCGCACGAGACCACCGCCACCACCCTCAAACCCGTTGCGCCCGTCTCCCTCCTCCCTCCCCTGTCCCCACAGGACGAGCAAGGCCGGCCACTCCAAGACGAGGAGCTGTGGGAGGACGTGCACGACGTGATGGGCGCGGGGCACGAGACCACCGCCACCACCATCACGGCGGCGCTCTTCCTCATCTCGCAACACCCTGAAGCCAAGGCCAAGGTGGGTGCAGGCCCAGGTGGATGGCTGGCAGTGGCGGGTGAGTGGCAAGGTGGGTATAGCGCAAGGAGAGGGGCAAGGTGATGGGCGCGGGGCACGAGACCACCACCACCACCATCACGGCGGCAATCTTCCTCATCTCACAGCACCCTGAAGCCAAGGCCAAGGTGGGTAAAAACCAATGTAGGGTGCTTGGTATGTTTTGGAGGCGTGTTCACAATGGTAAACGGTTGCAGTGAAGGCAAACGCTCCACATGAACCCCCTGAACATCTCTCCCTTTTCTGGACTCCTCCTCTTCCCTTCTCTCCACCCCCTCCTCACCCTTCTCTTCCTCCAGGTGCAAGAGGAGCTGAGAGCCCTCAACGGCTGCATGCCCTCGTTCCAAGACGTCAACAGCGGGCGCCTGGTATACACACAGATGGCCGTCAAGGAGACCCTCCGCATGTACCCCCTCACTCCCTTCTTTATCCCCTCCCCCCTCTTTTCCAGCTTCTCAAAGCCTCTTGTCCTTTCTCTCAACCCCACCTCTTCCTTTCTCTCCATCCCTCCTCTTTCCTTCTCTCCTCCCACCCTCGCCCCTTCTCTCCCTTCCCACCCACAGGTGCAAGAGGAGCTGAGAGGCCTCAACGGGCGCATGCCCTCGTTCCAAGACATCAACAGCGGTCGCCTGGCATACACACAGATGGCCGTCAAGGAGACCCTCCGCATGTACCCGCCCATCCCGCTCTTCCCCCGGGAGGTCGCCCACACCGACGTCCTACCCGGGGGCTACGAACTTCCTGGCGGCGATGTGAGTGCATTGTTCCTTTCTAGCCCCTACTCCCCATCCCACTCGTTCCGAAGAAAACGGGCCACACTGGTTGCACGCCCAGTGGGTGCCCACCTTGCCATCGGCACAACCTTGTTTACTAGCACGTACCGCGTTTGAGGCACCTAAGTATCTCCATCCCCTTCTCCCGCCCCGTCTTCCTGCCTCCCTGCCCCACCCCCAGGTCGTATTTATGTCCACCTATGCCATGGGGCGCAACCCTGTCTACTGGCCCGAGCCCCTCTCCTTCCGACCGGTAAAGCTCCACTGATGCTTTCTTCTTTTCCCAATAGCCACACTTCATTTCCCTTGGGAAAGCTCGTTCTTCTATCATAGTTCGCCCTTCAAACTGCACGTCAAAAGTCTCCTGTGCGCCAGAAGTCCTCTCAAGAACGGAGCGATGACTTCCTGTGATGTCTGCTGCCTCAAGAGCGGTTCAATGCCGAAGCAGAGGCAGCTGGCCTGCCTTCTTAGTGAAACTCAGAAAGTTGTCTTCAGACTGCAGCACAAAGAACACCTCTCTCTCTGAGCCTCGTTTGGCTACCTTCTTACTGAAGAACCCCTCTGAAATTTCTTTCATCCCTCATCGCAACAACCCCTCCATCTCCATGCTCCTCACTCTCTTCCCATGCTCCCTCCCCACTCACAGGAGCGCTTCACTCCCGAGGCAGAGGCAGCGCGGCCGCGCTTTGCATGGGTGCCGTTTGGGGCGGGGCCTCGCATGTGTCTGGGCGCCAACTTTGCTGTGCTCGCCGTCACTCAAGTCGTCGCCACCCTGCTGCAGGTGTGTGTGAGGGGAGGGGGGGAAGAGGGCGAAGGTGTGAAGGGAACTTGTGCGTGCTTGCATCCATACGTATGCAGTGCTGTGTGTTTAAGGAGATCTAACCTTACCTTTGTCCCTCTTCTCTTCCCCTCCTCTCTTCCTCCCCTGCTCCTCTCCTCCCTTGTTCCCCTCCTCCCATCTCCCTCCCCCCCCTCTCGTTTCCTCCCCTCCCTCCCTTCCTTCCTCACCTCAGCATTTCGAATTCGAGGGTATCAGTCCCAGCGGAAAGGAACTGTCATTCGCTTACGACATTACAATGAACTTTCCAGGTGCGGCAATGCTTAATCTGCATGACATGCTTTGTTTTCCGCTTCCTCATGCCGGGCTACTGACACAAATCACTCTTTGACATTTATCCTGGGCTCAGGTGGCGTAAACATGCGTGTTCGGCCACGTGAAACGGAGGCTTGAAGGAGGGTGTGCAGGAGTCATGATTGACTATAGGCCTAACTAACGTGCAATTGATACTGCACTAGCATTGGTGGTTTGTAGGGTTTTTGCAATAACCTGGTTTGTGTGTTGTGAGTTATGTGTGTCAAGTGTTTTCTCTCGAGTGTAAAGTGTTTCCTGCCTGAAAGTGAAAAGAAAAGCCTAAAAATGTAAAAAGCATGGCAAGTTTGACTGGTGACTGTGAATACTAAAAAGCTACCCTGCATACACCTTGCAGGGAGTAAAGTGTAGATTGTCCACAATAACAAGTACATACTTTTTCGTAACGCTGACGTCTGGGACCGCTGTAAAGACGACTGAGAGCGGTGTAAAGGGGCAGCCAATAACAAGTTTCGGCTCGGCATTCCAATGGCGCTTGTAACGTCGCTATTGAAGGCCATCACAGCTAACTCCCACGGCATTGGGAACCTCAGCAATGGTATTCATGAAAGTCGCTTCGACTCGTGACTTCCTGGTCACATGGTCAGCAGAGTAGCTTCACGGTAAACAAGATAGAATCTTAGAATATAGTCCAGTAGCTGTGATTACGTCGTGGCTACTAGCCGTTGGTCGTTTATAGCCGTTGTACGTTGTCACCAATAGGCGTTACTACCACGTCGTCAATAGCCGTTGGTGCGTCGTCGTTAACAGGCTTAGGTACGGTGTTGCTAAAAGCCGCTGTCAAAAGAAATTTATTGCGCGAACTCGTGTTCGTGGTGACTTTAACAAACCCCTCCGAGAGTCCCGCGACGCCTCTGAAGAGCACAAGAGAGTTTCTGTATCTTGCGGTACCACATACTAGTCGACAGTCACAGAAGCGCATCGTGGCTCGCGTCTCAATATAGTCACAACAGAAGAATGGACACGCGCAACTCTGGGAGCACAGAGTCAGCGCCAAATGCGGAGGTTGAAACCGCAGGTCCCGACACAGACAACGTGACTAGCAGCAGCGGTGTTAGCAGCAGCGGTAACCACACGAACATGCGATGTTCGGAATCGGCCTCCGCCGAAATCCCGGCGGCAATCGCGGTCGGGGGAGGCCCCTGGGGCGCAGTGGGCGACACTGGCGGCATGGCGTCGGGGGGAAGCGCAGGGGGAAGGGGATCAAGTCCAGCAGTGGCGGCGGGACTAGGCGGAACGCAGGCGATGCCTCCGCATCTGGATTTGCGCGGGGCTGCGATTCAAACGTTTCCGCGGGACGCTGCTGGTGCGCAGACGACCATTGTGCTCCCGAATCAACGGTCGGATGTGCTGCACTTCGCACTTGACATTGGAGGTGTGTTCCAAGTCCAATCCTTGTTCTGAGCCACATCTATACAGCACTCTTAACTGTAGGATGCGTTCCGTTCGCCCTTAACATGTGTATGCACCACTTCCCTCCGCCATCTTCTAGCCTTCCTCATCTCTCAAGGCATTTTCCTTGTTTGACAATATCCATCCATTTGTAGGAGTCAAGTCTTACCCCGTTTCGAGAGTCAATGTGCAGGCAAACATAGAAAACGATATCCAGCCTTTTCCAGGAACTTACTCTGAGAAATTTCCTGGAATATCCAGGCATCAATGCCCAAGCATTTTCAGTGATGATTGTCCTGAAACTTTCCAGGAGTACGTTTCCATGAATGAATGTCAAGGAATCCATGTTCATGCATTTATCCATTCTCAGGAACCATTGTCCAGGGAATCAACCTCAGGCATTTCCAGGAATTAAACTCCACGTAATTTCAAGCATTCTCATGAACCAATCACCAAGCAACTTTGTAAAGCAATATCCAGGCATTTCCTCGTCAATGTCAAGGTTTTTCTATGAAGCAGTCTTCTGCGGTTTTCAGGAATCATTGTCCAAACCTGTTTAGAAATCTCTGTCCAGCCATTCAAAGAATCATTATTTTCAGGCGCCAGGATCAAATATGCAGGCACTACGAAAAGGCAACCTGCGTTTCTCCTCTCTACTGCATGTTTCTTATGTCCAGTTGCAATCATATACCGTCTTATCTTTCTCTCCTGTACCCCTCTTTGATACTGCCCTCAGGCTCGCTCATAAAGCTCGTGTATTTCTCCCGCATCCCTCCCCACTTGGAACACGGAGCCTCCTTCTCCTCTCTCATCTCCCCTTCTGCCACTGCTGCTCCTGCTTCTACTAGCACTGCTGCTGGTAATGAAAGTACAGACTGCACCACCCAGACCAACTGTGGTCCTACTGCTGCTTCTGCTGCTGCTCCGCCTCCTGCCTTTGCTTCCGCTACTGCAACATCAGCTGCTGCTGCTGCTGCCACTGGCAATCTCACGGCGAGCGCCAGTGCTGCCGCTGCTGCTGCTAGGGCTGTCGACAGGCGAGCTTCCTTTTCTGGAGGAGGGGGCTCTTTTCGGTCGGGCGGCGGTGGTCGGCTGCACTTTGTCAAGTTTGAGACGTCGAGGATCGCAGAGTGCATCGAGTTCATCAAGTCGAAGAGGCTCCACAGCTTTGATATTCTAGGTGAGGGGGGATGTGGTTGGTGGCGGACGCAGTGGGGGACAGGTGGGATTACAGAGTATGTGGCTCGTTGTGGGGAATAGAGTGGAGTGGGCAGAGAGGGTGCAGAATGCTGAGGCTGGGAGTGGGAGGGAGACGAAGGGCTTATACGATTTGACGATGTTTGGTGCGGGTCGAATGCGTTTTTGCACATGTAAGCAATGATGTGAGAAAGCACATGTAGGAATTTGGGGGAGTTCAATCTGCTGCCTGGAGGCCTTGAAAGCTTCCATGTTCCTTCCCCATCCATCATTGTTTGTCATCATCCTTGTCCACCCTCCTCTCCTCCACCCTCATCCTTGCTTCTGCGCCCACCCAACAACCCAACATCTTTCTTAACCTGATTGTTGTTGTTCGTAGGTGCTGCCGCAAAAATTCCAACCAAGTACACACACCCACCTCAATAAGCTCACCTCCTTGTTTTACCTTAGCGGATCTCATCTCACCGTGGCTTGCTTTGTTGCCCTTCTCATCGTTTTCTGGTATTCTTCTTCCGACGTGTTCTTCTTCCGACAAGGAATGGGTGGAGACGAGGAGAGTCTATGGGGCTATGGAGCCAGCTCGCCTCGCATCAAGGTGTGTTCAGACATGCTTGCAATGACGCTGTGTTTGGTCCCTCCGATGTTGTTTTTTTCTTGGTGCCCGTCTCCTGGTTTGTTGAAAGGAATGGGAGGAGACGAGAAGAGCCTATGGAGCTATGGAGCCAGCTCGCCTCGCATCAAGATGTGTTGGCCATGCTTGCACAGCACTTGCAGTGACGCCCGTTGAGGCGCATCCAGTGTTGATCACAGTCGGGAGGATGAAGGCGCACATTGCCTTGCTCAGCCCCACACTCTTCACATGTGCATCTGAGCTTCACGCATTGTCGAATTATTCAGCACGTCATTCCTCCGAGGTGTGCCTATCCATCTGTAGTGCATGCTTGCAATTATCTAACTACATGTCCCTGCCATACACCACCCCTACCATCCATCCATCATCACCCCCATGTGTGCGCGCAGGCCACAGGGGGAGGCGTGTTCAAGTACGCGGATCTGTTTAAGGAGAAGCTGGGCGTGGTGTTGGACAAGGAGGATGAGATGCTCTTTGAGTTGACTCGAAACTCACCTCCATGCACCACCCCTGCCATGCACCATTGTCCTCGTGTGTGTCTGTGTGCAGGCCACAGGGGGCGGGGCGTTCAAGTATGCGGATCTGTTTAAGGAGAAGCTGGGCGTGGTGTTGGACAAGGAGGATGAGATGCGCTGCCTCGTGCTCGGCCTCAACTTCCTCCTGCGCGTATGGCCCTAAGTGACTTGTGAGTCGACTAAAAAGTCACCTCTTTTGAGTCGACTCAAAAGTGGCCTCAACTTCCTCCTGCGCGCATGGCCCCGCCGCATCACCCTCTTTCTCCCTTTCATGCTGCGCGTATGGCCCCCTCTCCTCTCCCCTAGATGCTGCACATAACCCGCCGGTGCTCAAGTGCTATTTGTATGTTTGTCTGCATGTACGTGCACTACACACCAGGGCTTTTGAAGATGTGTGCCACTGCCTGTTGAGCTCACTGTTACTTGTCTCTACGTTTCCTCCCCGCTGGTGGAGCTGCAACTTGCTGACACCATGATAAATGACCTATTTCCCTCGCACCCAACCTTCCTGTCCTTTCCCCACGGCAGTCCATCCAAGATGAGGCATTCACACACCTGGAGGGAGAGAAGCAGTTTGTGGAGATGCACGTGCAATGGCTCAGGCCCTTCCATTCACCCTCCCGTCTTCCCTTCCTACCCCTGCATGCCCATCCCCCCCAACCCAGTCCATCCGAGATGAGGCATTCACACACCTGGAGGGCGAGAAGCAGTTTGTGGAGATGCACAGCGGAAACATCTTCCCCTACCTCCTTGTCAACATCGGCTCGGGTGTCAGCATTCTCAAGGTGTGTGAGCATTCTCAAGGGGTGCGAGCATTCTCAAGGTGTGCGAGCATTCTCAAGGTGTGCGAGCATTCTCAAGGTGTGCGAGCATTCTCAAGGTGTGTGAGCATTCTCAAGGTGTGCGAGCATTCTCGAGGTGTGCGAGCATTCTCAAGGTGTGCGAGCATTCTCAAGGTGTGTGAGCATTCTCAAGGTGTGCGAGCATTCTCAAGGTGTGTGAGCATTCTCAAGGTGTGCGAGCATTCTCAAGGTGTGCGAGCATTCTCAAGGTGTGCGAGCATTCTCAAGGTGTGCGAGCATTCTCAAGGTGTGTGAGCATTCTCAAGGTGTGTGAGCATTCTCAAGGTGTGCGAGCATTCTCAAGGTGTGTGAGCATTCTCAAGGTGTGCGAGCATTCTCAAGGTGTGCGAGCATTCTCAAGGTGTGTGAGCATTCTCAAGGTGTGCGAGCATTCTCAAGGTGTGCGAGCATTCTCAAGGTGTGCGAGCATTCTCAAGGTGTGTGAGCATTCTCAAGGTGTGCGAGCATTCTCAAGGTGTGCGAGCATTCTCAAGGTGTGCGAGCATTCTCGAGGTGTGCGAGCATTCTCAAGGTGTGCGAGCATTCTCAAGGTGTGCGAGCATTCTGAAGGTGTGCGAGCATTCTCAAGGTGTGTGAGCATTCTCAAGGTGTGTGAGCATTCTCAAGGTGTGCGAGCATTCTCAAGGTGTGCGAGCATTCTGAAGGTGTGCGAGCATTCTCAAGGTGTGTGAGCATTCTCAAGGTGGGCGAGCATTCTCAAGGTGTGTGAGCATTCTCAAGGTGTGCGAGCATTCTCAAGGTGTGTGAGCATTCTCAAGGTGTGCGAGCATTCTCAAGGTGTGCGAGCATTCTCAAGGTGTGCGAGCATTCTGAAGGTGTGCGAGCATTCTCAAGGTGTGTGAGCATTCTCAAGGTGTGTGAGCATTCTCAAGGTGTGTGAGCATTCTCAAGGTGTGTGAGCATTCTCAAGGTGTGCGAGCATTCTCAAGGTGTGCGAGCATTCTCAAAGTGTGCGAGCATTCTCAAGGTGTGCGAGCATTCTGAAGGTGTGCGAGCATTCTCAAGGTGTGCGAGCATTCTCAAGGTGTGTGAGCATTCTCAAGGTGTGTGAGCATTCTCAAGGGGTGCGAGCATTCTCAAGGTGTGCGAGCATTCTCAAGGTGTGCGAGCATTCTTAAGGTGTGCGAGCATTCTCAAGGTGTGCGAGCATTCTCAAGGTGTGCGAGCATTCTCAAAGGGTGCGAGCATTCTCAAGGTGTGCGAGCATTCTCAAGGTGTGTGAGCATTCTCAAGGGGTGCGAGCATTCTCAAGGTGTGCGAGCATTCTCAAGGTGTGCGAGCATTCTCAAGGGGTGCGAGCATTCTCAAGGTGTGCGAGCATTCTCAAGGTGTGTGAGCATTCTCAAGGGGTGCGAGCATTCTCAAGGTGTGCGAGCATTCTCAAGGTGTGCGAGCATTCTCAAAGTGTGCGAGCATTCTCAAGGTGTGTGAGCATTCTCAAGGTGTGCGAGCATTCTGAAGGTGTGCGAGCATTCTCAAGGTGTGCGAGCATTCTCAAAGTGTGCGAGCATTCTCAAGGTGTGCGAGCATTCTCAAGGTGTGCGAGCATTCTCAAGGTGTGCGAGCATTCTCAAGGTGTGCGAGCATTCTCAAGGTGTGTGAGCATTCTCAAGGTGTGCGAGCATTCTCAAGGTGTGCGAGCATTCTGAAGGTGTGTGAGCATTCTCAAGGTGTGCGAGCATTCTGAAGGTGTGCGAGCATTCTCAAGGTGTGCGAGCATTCTGAAGGTGTGCGAGCATTCTCAAGGTGTGTGAGCATTCTCAAGGTGTGCGAGCATTCTCAAGGTGTGCGAGCATTCTCAAGGTGTGCGAGCATTCTCAAGGTGTGTGAGCATTCTCAAGGTGTGTGACCACCTGTTTCAGTCTCGTCAGTGTACGGTGCTCTGTTTTCAAGATGCACAACGAGAGCATGCTTTCCTACCTCTCAAGATGCACAACGAAAGCATGCTTTCCTACCTCTCAAGATGCACAACGAAAGCATGCTTTCCTACCTCTCAAGCTGCACAACAAAAGCATGCTTTCCTACCTCTCAAGATGCACAACGAAAGCATGCTTTCCTACCTCTCAAGATGCACAACGAAAGCATGCTTTCCTACCTCTCAAGATGCACAACGAAAGCATGCTTTCCTACCTCTCAAGATGCACAACGAAAGCATGCTTTCCTACCTCTCAAGATGCACAACGAAAGCATGATTTCCTACCTCTCAAGATGCACAACGAAAGCATGCTTTCCTACCTCTCAAGATGCACAACGAAAGCATGCTTTCCTACCTCTCAAGATGCACAACGAAAGCATGCTTTCCTACCTCTCAAGATGCACAACGAAAGCATGCTTTCCTTCCTCTCAAGATGCACAACGAAAGCATGCTTTCCTACCTCTCAAGATGCACAACGAAAGCATGCTTTCCTACCTCTCAAGATGCACAACGAAAGCATGCTTTCCTACCTCTCAAGATGCACAACGAAAGCATGCTTTCCTACCTCTCAAGATGCACAACGAAAGCATGCTTTCCTACCTCTCAAGATGCACAACGAAAGCATGCTTTCCTACCTCTCAAGATGCACAACGAAAGCATGCTTTCCTACCTCTCAAGATGCACAACGAAAGCATGCTTTCCTACCTCTCAAGATGCACAACGACAGCATGCTTTCCTACCTGTCAAGATGCACAACGAGAGCATGCTTTCCTACCTCTCAAGATGCACAACGAAAGCATGCTTTCCTACCTCTCAAGATGCACAACGAGAGCATGCTTTCCTACCTCTCAAGATGCACAACGAAAGCATGCTTTCCACCTCTCAAGATGCACAACGAAAGCATGCTTTCCTACCTCTCAAGATGCACAACGAAAGCATGCTTTCCTACCTCTCAAGATGCACAACGAAAGCATGCTTTGCTACCTCTCAAGATGCGTCGGCATTCTCAAGGTGTGTCGGCATTCTCGAGGTGCGTCGGCATGTACAAGGCGCGCCGTTCTGATTTTGAGACATCCCAAAGCAAGTTGTGCGAATGTCTGTTGCCATTTTGTCAATGTACATTACCTTAATTTTGACACGCCGTAAAGCAAGTTGTGACTGCCTGCTCTCGCCTGTCCCTGCCTGCACTCCTACCCCCCTCTGCCCCCTCTCCTCCCTCTGTCCACGATGATAGGTTGACGGGCCACAGCAGTATGAGCGAGTGAGCGGCACCAACCTGGGGGGGGGCACCTTCTGGGGCCTGGGCAGCCTACTCACGGGATGCAAGAGGTGAGAGAGAGGCTAGGTTCAGGGCAAGAGGTGAGAATTCTCAAAAAATAGGTTCAGGGCTCGCTTCACATCTGCACTCCATTCCGCGGCCCCCGTGCACATAAGGCTGTTGAGATGAATAAAAGCTGGGCCGTCTGCTCACACGATGCAAGAGTGGGGAGACCATGCCATATCTTGTCCTGTCTTGTCCAGGTTCAAGGCCCACTCCAAATCTTCTCTTTGTTCTGCACCTTTGCACATCACATTTGGCGTTCCTGGCTTTCACGTTCTGCACCCTTTCACTTCACAGCCCCTCACATCCCCCCTCACATTCACCCTCACATCCCATCCCCACACCCCTCCTTCACAATCTTCATCGCATACCCTTGCAGCTTAGTCCTCTTCCCTCTACCCTTCACTGTTGTGTAGAGGCAGTCTTTTTTGACAAGATTGGGGGGGGAGGGAGGGGGGGGCAACATTGAACCCCTTTCTCCCCTGACCCCGAAACCCTCACCATCCCCCCTTCATTACACGGGCACCAGTTTTGACAAGATCCTGGAGCTGAGTCAGGAGGGGTTAGGGTAACAAAGCAAACCCGCTCGTCCTTGCTCTTGTCCCGTGTCTTGCTTCCTCACACCATCCGCCCTTCCTCACACCATCCGCCCTTCCTCACACCATCCGCCCTTCCTCACACCATCCGCCCTTCCTCACACCATCCGCCCTTCCTCACACCATCCGCCCTTCATGCCACAACCAGTTTTGACAAGATTCTGGAGCTGAGTCAGGAGGGCGACAACTCGGCTGTGGACATGCTGGTGGGGGACATCTATGGCGGGCTTAACTACGAGAAGGTGAGATAGCGGTGAGAAGGTGAACAGGCAGGTCAACCATTGTACACCCGTGCCACCTGCCATTGCAGCTTCGCCCTTGAATTGTTGCACTCGCACCACCCGCCTGCCATCATGACAGCTCGGCTGTGGTGTGGACATGCTGGTGGGGCCCATCTATGGCAAAAGGGTGATCAAGACATCGACCACACTCACCATCCCCACATCTCACCCACATCATCGCTTCCAGTTTTGAGGCTTCCAACCACACCACCCACCTTCCCCGCTGCCCAATGCCCCCCCATTGCCCCCCATCCCCCACTCCCTCACTCCCATCCCCCATGTTGTTCACTCTCACGCCTTGTTGTTCCCTCAGATCGGCCTATCGGCATCTACCATTGCCTCCAGTTTCGGGCGAGTGGTGGGCGAGCAGAAGCAGCTGTCAGACTACCGCCCGGAGGACATCGCCCTCTCGCTGCTGCGCATGGTGTCATACAACATCGGGCAGATCGCCTACCTCAACGCGCTGCGCTACAACCTCAAGCGCATCTTCTTTGGCGGGTTCTTCATCCGCGGGCACGCCTACACCATGGATACAATATCCTTTGCCATCAAGTTCTGGTGGGTTTACCGTTTACTCACTCAACGTGGTTTTCAAGTTTTCATACATGGAATCAAGGTGGTGCAAGCAAGCTTCTTCATTCGTGTGTGAGAGCGATACAACCTCATCAAGCACATAAAACTTGGGGGTTGTTTTCACCTGCGGGCATGCGTACACCATCAATCAACACCATCTCCTTTGCCGTCAAATTCTGGTGGGTGATGTCTCCTTAGGCACCTTGGGACATCATTGCCATGCCATTAGGCTCTTCAAGTGCGGGCATGCGTACACCATGGACACCATCTCCTTCGCCATCAAGTTCTGGTGAGTTCACAATCAGGGTGGCTCAACCTGTGCGATGTGGAACGTGCCTTCTTCATCTGCGGGCATGCGTACACCATGGACACACCATGTTCTGGTCTGAACGTTTACGAAAAGAAGCCAACTCACATGTCAACGGAGGCCTTTGACATTTTTGAGAATTCTCAAAAGGAGGCCTTTGACAATTCCACCTCTGTGTCTCACACCATCACCGCAAACCCTTCCAACCCACTCCACTTCCCCTCCTCCTCGTCAGGTCCAAGGGCGAGAAGCAGGCCATGTTTCTGCGCCACGAGGGGTACCTGGGAGCGCTGGGAGCCTTCCTAGCGCACGAGGAGGACGCCCACGCAGAGGGCCGCGGGCTCTCTCTCACGCCCGGCATCGCCTCGCTCTCCTCGCTCACGCCTTCCCCTCCCGTACTTCCTCTTGTCCCTCCCCCTCACTTCTTCCCCTCTACTTGCCCCATCCCCCCCCCTCCCACCTTTCTGTAGGTCCAAGGGCGAGAAGCAGGCCATGTTTCTGAGGCACGAGGGGTACCTGGGAGCGCTGGGAGCCTTCCTAGCGCACGAGGAGGACGCCCACGCAGAGGGCCGCGGGCTCTCTCTCACGCCCGGCATCGCCTCGCTCTCCTCGCTCACGCCTTCCCCTCCCGTACTTCCTCTTGTCCCTCCCCCTCACTTCTTCCCCTCTACTTGCCCCATCCCCCCCCCTCCCACCTTTCTGTAGGTCCAAGGGCGAGAAGCAGGCCATGTTTCTGAGGCACGAGGGGTACCTGGGAGCGCTGGGAGCCTTCCTAGCGCACGAGGAGGACGCCCACGCAGAGGGCCGCGGGCTCTCTCTCACGCCCGGCATCGCCTCGCTCTCCTCGCTCACGCCGTCGCAGCTGGTGGAGCGCTTCCCCATGGGCGCTCCCTTCTCCAAGGGGGAGATCCGCGGGCCCGTGATTCGCGGGCTCAAGGAGAAGGTCTCCTGGGTCGAGAAGTTTGTTCAGGTGAGAGGTGGTACCCTCTCCCTCCCTCTCCCTGACCCCCGTCATCGCCCCTCTCTCCTTGTTGCTGCTGGTGGAGCGCTTCCCCATGGGCGCTCCCTTCTCCAAAGGGGAGATCCGAGGGCCCGTGATTCGTGGGATGAAGGAGGTCTCCTGGGTCGAGAAGTTTGTTCAGGTGAGTAGGGAATGGGGCATGGGCGAGGTGCTTTGGGCTGGTTGGACGGGAATGGGGCAGCTGGTGATGCGCTTCCCCATGGGCGCTCCCTTTTCCAAGGGGGAGATCAGAGGGGCTGTGATACGTGGGTTGAAGGAGAAGGTGTCGTGGGTCGAGAAGTTTGTGCAGGTGGGTGGGGCGTGCAGGGCGCAGGTGGGCGGGGAACGGGGCAGGTGGGTGGTGGATACAGCAGGTTTTTTTGTAGAGGTGGTGCCTTTTCTCTCGGCATTGGCAAGGTGGTGAGCTACCCAGGCGAGGAGGGCTTTGTGCTGTGTGTGGGATTGCGTGCAGGCTGGTAGTGACATCACTGCACGCACCCCAACAGGCAAATCACCAAACAGGGGCTGGGGGTCCTTGTAGTACGACCCAGAGAGCAGGGCAGGGAGCTGGGATCAGATGAGTCGAGTGTTGAGGCGTCTCAAACCTCATCCGTGATTCATGTGTGACTGCGTGCAGGTGGGGAGTGACAGCACCGCGCCCACAACAACAACAGGCAAGCCGCCCACTACCACAGTGCTGAGGGGCTTTGCTTTGCGCGGCCCAGGGAGCAGGGCAGGGAGCTGCAATCAGATGAGTCGAGTGTTGAAGCATCTCAAACCTCATTCGTGATTGATGTGTGTGTGCAGGTGGGGAGTGACATCACGGCGCCCACACCAACAGGCAAGCCGCCAACCACCACGGGCCTGGGAGGCTTTGCACGGCCAAGGGAGCAGGGCAGGGAGCTGCGGTCAGATGAGTCGAGTGTTGAGGCGTCTCAAACCTCATCCGTGATTCATGTGTGACTGCGTGCAGGTGGGGAGTGACAGCACCGCGCCCACAACAACAACAGGCAAGCCGCCCACTACCACAGTGCTGAGGGGCTTTGCTTTGCGCGGCCCAGGGAGCAGGGCAGGGAGCTGCAATCAGATGAGTCGAGTGTTGAGGCGTCTCAAACCTCATTCGTGATTGATGTGTGTGTGCAGGTGGGGAGTGACATCACGGCGCCCACGCCAACAGGCAAGCCGCCAACCACCACGGGCCTGGGAGGCTTTGCACGGCCAAGGGAGCAGGGCAGGGAGCTGCGGTCAGATGAGTCGGCGCTCAGTGTGGGAGTGCTGCACCTCGTGCCCTCACTTGAGGTCTTCCCCCTGCTGGCCGATCCTGTCAGGTACTGTGGGCTCGCTTGCTGTGGGCTCGCTAGTGGGTCATGCTGGGTGGGTAATAGGGCGGGCAGGGAGCTGCGGTCAGATGAGTCAGCGCTCAGTGTGGGAGTGCTGCACCTCGTGCCGTCCCTCGAGGTTTCCCACAGCTCGCAGACCCTGTCAAGTGAGAGACTTGCTGTGTGAGGGTTCTATGATGCGGGGTGATGTGCTGTGCTGGTTTGTGATGTGGGTGTGCTGCAGCTTTTGCCGTCACTTGAGGCCGTCCCGCTTTTTCTTTTCTTTTCTTTTCTTCTTCACTCCTTTCCTTAGCTCTGCATTTTTCCCTTCCTGTTTCATTCTTTCCCCTTTCCCTTACTTCTCACTCCCTCCCCTTTACTCTCTATTTCCGTTGCCTCCTCCCTCCTTCCTCCCTTGTCACCGCCACCAGCTATGAGCCCAACACAGTGGACCTCGCAGACTCGGATGAGAGGGAGTGAGTGGCGCATGGGGGGGAATGAGGGAGGGAGTGAGTGGCGCATGGGGGGGAATGAGGGAGGGAGTGAGTGGCGCATGGGGGGGAATGAGGGAGGGAGTGAGTGGCGCATGGGGGGGAATGAGGGAGGGAGTGAGTGGCGCATGGGGGGGAATGAGGGAGGGAGTGAGTGGCGCATGGGGGGGAATGAGGGAGGGAGTGAGTGGCGCATGGGGGGGAATGAGGGAGGGAGTGAGTGGCGCATGGGGGGGAATGAGGGAGGGAGTGAGTGGCGCATGGGGGGGAATGAGGGAGGGAGTGAGTGGCGCATGGGGGGGAATGAGGGAGGGAGTGAGTGGCGCATGGGGGGGAATGAGGGAGGGAGTGAGTGGCGCATGGGGGGGAATGAGGGAGGGAGTGAGTGGGACACAGCGGAGAAAGAGGGAGGGGAAGAGCGGGAATGATTAGGTCACGGAGGGGGTGGAGGGGGTAGACAGGGTGAGGTAGGGGAATCGGGCAGGAGGTGAAGAGGAGAGTGTTTGTGTTCATGGGGATGCATGGTTGCAGTTGCTTTTTTCAAAATCAGTTAACTGAATTTCTTTTCCATAGCACTTTTCAGGCGCTCTAGTTTGCATCCTCACCATCGTTCTCACCTCTTTTGAGTCGACTCAAAAGTCACCTCGTTACTATGGCACACGATATCTTTTCAGGCGCTCTAGTTTGCATCCTCACCATCTTTCTCACCTCTTTCATTCACTCCCATCCCATCCATCCCATCCATCCCATCCATCCCATGGGTCTGTTTGTACGTTTGGCATGGCATGGTGTGGCGTTTGGCGAATCACTTGGGACAATGCTCTGGTTTCATGGTGGCTTAACGGCATTGCTCCCCATGTATGTATGCATGCGTGCACGGACCCATCAGGTACTGGCTTGGAATTCTGCAGGATCACATTCCCAACCTCGTGGAGAAGGTGAGCTAGAAAAGCAATGCAGGGGCAACAACCTAGCTAAACGGGATGTTAGGGAGCGTCTCTCAAGATGTCCGGGAATCTTTTCTTCATTATCAGCTTCTTCATTATGAGGCATGTGGAGAAGGTCGAAGAAGCAACGCAGGGGAAGGGGGAGGGTGGGAAGACATAACATAAGCAGGCACGCTTTCAGACGCTAACAGATTGCTGGAAACAAAAACGAGGGGATATGCGAGTCACCTTTAAGAGCAGCTTCTTTCCCCCCTCTCCTTGCCGTTCTCCTTCCGTTTATCGTTCCCTCGCACCGTCCCTCCACTTCCCGCTTCCCTTCTCATTTTCCATCCTCTTTCCATCCTCTTTCCATCCTCTCTTCATCTCTTAGGGCGCTTCACCTGAGGGGCGGAAGGCCAAAATCCGAACCGACGTATCAGTTTGACTGTACGAACAGTATCCCAAATGAGTTCGAACACAAATACGTACAATGAGCGAATGTGACACAGGCCATCACAGGTGACGCCATCGCTATTCGCACACGCGGTCTGTTCGAACACAGCGACGTCGCCCACAAAAGAGCGACGTTGCCAAACATTGGGTCCCTCGCTTGTGTGTTTCCTCGCTTGGGTCGCAAACGTTCATGGGCGACCCGGAAGACTGTGGACCAATCATATCAGTCGTTTGTGCGGAATTGTGTGTCACCTATCCCAACCTGTTCGAACAAACGTGTTCGAACGTGCGGGATGATGAAAATCGTGCTTGAGGTGACAGCTCTGTTCAAATTGGCGAAATTGTGCTTCGCGACGTCACGATCACCACTACGAACATAGGCGAAACGAGTAACGTTTCGCCTGTTGGAACGAGTGTGTTGTTCGAACCGACAGGTGAAGCGCCCTTACTATTCTCTTTCCAACGCTCCCTCTCGCTTCAGGCAGTGGGAAGCGAGGGAGCAACGGAGGATGCCAAGAGGAGGGGCGATGCCTTTGCCTTGGCCTTCAGGGCGCATCTTACCAGGTGTGTGGGCTGCTTCTGCTTCTGCTACTGTTTCTGCTGTCGCCACTGCCGTCACCACCGCTGCCACTGCTCCTGCCACTGCTGCCCCTACTCCTGACCCTGCTACTACTTCTGCTGCTGCCCATGCTGCTTCGGGTTCTGCTGCCGCTGCTGCTGCTACTCGCCTAGGTTCTGCCGCTGCGTCTGCTTCGTCGTCTGCTGCTGCTGCTGCCGCCGCCGCTGCCGCCGCTGCTGGTTCTCTCCTTGCTGGCTTCTGCACAAGGAGGCGTTAGCTTAGCATGCAACGCATAGGGTTTGTGACGAGAGAATCATTTCATGATCAACCTGCCCCAACCACGTTGCCCACCCAACCCGACCCACCCTTTCCTCACAGATTACGCGAGGAGCCAGCAGCGTATGGGCGGCTGGGGCTGGCAACCCTGCTGGAGATGCGCGAGGAGTGTTTGAGGGAGTTCCATTTCTTTGATGCGTACCGTGCTGTCAAGCAGCGGTGAGTGGTGTGTGTAAGGAGGAGGAAAGGGAAGAGGTGAGGGGGGAGTAGAGTCTGGGAGACGGGTGCTGAGTTCACAGTGAAGCAGCAGTGAGTTCGAGACATGTCAAAGTGGTGTGGAGTGTCTGAGGGAGTTTCATTTCTTTGACGCGTATCGTGCTGTCAAGCAACGGTGAGTGGTGAGGGGAGGATGCATCTAATGACCACTGCATTTCTGTGCTTTGCCTTGTGAGCCTAATCCAGATTGAACATCAAGAGGAGAGGAATGTATGGCTTGTTACACCCTTTCTGAATCACACAGTTGTTTCAGAGATCTTCCCTTTCTTTGAATTGTTGACCCTAATGTCCCCGATCCAGCCTTATGTCTCTTTTCTATCCCCTCCTGCTCTCTCCCTGCTCCCTCTTATCCGCCCCTCGTGTCAACCAACAGGGAGAATGACGTGTCGCTGTCAGTGCTGCCGGACCTTCTAGCCGAGCTCGACAGCATTCCTCCTGTAAGCTCGACAGCATTCCTCCTGTAAGCTCGACAGCATTCCTCCTGTAAGCTCGACAGCATTCCTCCTGTAAGCTCGACAGCATTCCGCCTGTAAGCTCGACAGCATTCCGCCTGTAAGCTCGACAGCATTCCTCCTGTAAGCTCGACAGCATTCCGCCTGTAAGCTCGACAGCATTCTGCCTGTAAGCTCGACAGCATTCCGCCTGTAAGCTCGACAGCATTCCGCCTGTAAGCTCGACAGCATTCCGCCTGTAAGTTCAGCACTCTCGTGTGGGGGAATGAGCAAGTGGATGGGTGACATGAGAATAGCATTTGATAAGTGTGATCATAATGCGAGAACCATCTTTTTTCAGCATATGATTCCTTTAACAACCTGGCCTTGTCTTTTTCTCCACTTCCGCCTTACCCTCCCTATCCCTCCCCATAGCACCCTTCACCCATCCTGGAGATCTACCGCATCCATCCATCCCCCTCCGTTTCACCCCCACCCGTCTCACCCACACCCCCCTTTCCCCATCACCAGGAAGAGCGGCTGCTGACGGTTATGGGGGGCGTGCTGGCCGCCAACATATTTGACTGGGGGTCGCGGGAGTGTGTGAAGCTGTACCGCAGCGGCACCATTCTGGAGATCTACCGTATGAGCCGTGACAAGATGAAGCGTCCCTGGCGGGTGGACGACTTTGACGCCTTCCACCAGCGCTGGCAGCACCGTCCGTACGGCAAGGCGTTGCTGTTTGTGGACAATGCTGGGGCGGACGTAGTGCTGGGGATGCTGCCTCTTGCACGGGAGATGCTCCGAGCCGGGACTAATGTGAGTGGGATGGGTGTTGTTGGGTGCAATGGTAACGGTGAGATAGTCTGAGGGTGTTGCTGTTTGTGGACAATGCTGGGGCGGACGTGGTGCTGGGGATGCTGCCTCTTGCACAGGGTCTGATTTCACTGGGTATAAATGTGGTGGATATGAAATGCAACGCCTTCCCCCTGCGCTGCCAGCACCAGCCGTACAGCACAGCCAGGCTCTGCTATTTGTGGATAATGCTGGGGTGGTCGTGGTGCTGCTGGGGATGCTTGTGAGTCGACTCAAAGTCACCTCGTTGCGCGGTGCTGGGGATGCTGCCTCTGGCCCGAGAGATGCTGCGAACCCTCTTCCTCCCCCCTTGCCCACTTTACCTGCCCTCGCCGCGTGCACTCTCAATGGTGGCCAACTCGCTGCCAGCCATCAATGGCGTTGCATCAGACCAGCTGCCTTCCTAACCCTGTGCACCTGCTCTGCTCCCTGGTGTTTCCTCACGGCTGCCCTGGTGTTTCCTCACGGCTGCCCTGCTTCTCCTCGCCACCATCCAACTTCAAGCTGCCTCCCTTTTCCCCCCCTGCAGGTTGCCCTGGTGGCCAACTTGCTGCCAGCCATCAAGGACGCTACATCAGAACCAACTGCCTTGCCAGTGTGGTGCTTGATGCATCTGAATTCAACTCCTCACCACCCTTCCGCACCGCTCCCTCTCGCCCTGCAGGTGGTGCTGGTGGCCAACTCGCTGCCAGCAATCAACGACGTGACAGCAGACGAGCTCACGGCAGTGGTGGCTGAGGCTGCGCAGGTGAGAGCTCGGGCCATAGCGCAGCTAGTTGGGGTGCTGTTTGGGTGCTGATTGAAACGATTCTTGAGTCGACTCAAATACCTACTCAGGGTGCTGTTTGGTTGCTGATCTGCTGTGGTCTCGGCACTGGTGACTGAGGCTGCGCAGGTGAGAGCTCGAGACCGTAACTCAGCACGTGCTCCCCATTCGCCGCAGAGATTCTCAACACGTGCTCCCCATTCGCCGCAGAGATTCTCTCCTTGTGTTGATGTTGGCTGCTTACAGTGGCTCCCTTCTCAAGCCTTCTAAAACATATTGCTTGATCTGTTCTCTTATGACCCCCGACCGTCCCGTTCTTCTCCTCACTCGCTCGCCTCAAACAAGCCTTTGTGTCTCTTGCTCCAGAAACATCCTCTTTGTGCCTTTGTGTACATTCTTCGTTTCCCTTGTTCTCTGCTGTTCCCTTTCCTCCCCTTCCTCCCCCCTTGTCTACCCTGATCAGCACTGTCCTGTGTTGCGAGCAGCAGCAGAGGCAGGCGGGGTCATGGCAGAGGATGCTTCTAGGTCGACTCAAGACTTGCAACTGAGAGGGAACGAGCATCAAGGGGAGGGGAGGCAAGCAGCGGGCCAGGCAGACCCTCCACTGGTGCAGTCGGATCAAGCAGCAGTGCAGGCAGAGCAAGCGCCAGTGCAAGATCAGCAAGAGGAGCAGCAGAATCAGGAGAACGAGCAGCAGCAGCAGCAGGCGCAACAGGGGGATGAGGAGCAGCAGCAGGAGGGTGGGCAGCAGCGGCAAGTGTTTCTATCGGTGGTGGCGAGCGGTTCGGGCAGTCCGTGCATTGACTTCAGACAAGTCACGTGGGAGCTGGCCCAGGCCTGCCAGGGGGCTGACCTCGTGAGTGTTGGAGGAATGGATAGTGCTTGTGACTGGAGAGGGGCAGTGCTGCTTGTGAGTGCGGAAGTTCCGCGAGTGTGGGAGTGCTGTGAGTGAGTGAGGACTAATGCTGAGTTTGAGAGGGTTTGTTCTGTGAGTGCAAGTGGGGCACTCCTGCTGTGAGTGCAAGTGGGGCACTGCTGCTGTGAGTGCTGTGAATGCTCTGTCAGTTGGCCTTGCATTCTGCGCTCATCGCCAATCATCCGTTTTTTCCCCACCACATCTCATCCTGTCCGTTTGCCCATTCTTGCCCATGCAGGTGGTGCTGGAAGGCATGGGTCGCAGTCTGCACACCAACTACGACACGCGCTTCACCTGTGACTCACTCAAGGTAATCCCTAGGCTCGTGTTGCAGGTGACTTTGAGAAATCTCACAACACACCTCAAGGTAATCCCTAGGCTCGTGTTGCAGGTGACTTTGAGAAATCTCACAACACACCTCAAGGTAATCCCTAGGCTCGTGTTGCAGGTGAGTTTGAGAAATCTCACAACAAACCTCAAGGTAATCCCTAGGCTCGTGTTGCAGGTGAGTTTGAGAAATCTCACAACACACCTCAAGGTAATTTCTAGGCTTGTGTTGCAGGTGCGTTTGAGAAATCTCACAACAAATCTCAAGGTAATCCCTAGGCTCGTGTTGCAGGTGAGTTTGAGAAATCTCACAACAAACCTCAAGGTAATCCCTAGGCTCGTGTTGCAGGTGAGTTTGAGAAATCTCACAACACACCTCAAGGTAATTTCTAGGCTTGTGTTGCAGGTGCGTTTGAGAAATCTCACAACACACCTCAAGGTAATCCCTAGGCTCGTGTTGCAAGTGAGTTTGAGAAATCTCACAACACACCTCAAGGTAGTCCCTAGGCTCGTGTTGCAGGTGAGTTTGAGAAATCTCACAACAAATCTCAAGGTAATCCCTAGGCTCGTGTTGCAGGTGAGTTTGAGAAATCTCACAACACACCTCAAGGTAATCCCTAGGCTCGTGTTGCAGGTGACTTTGAGAAATCTCACAACACACCTCAAGGTAATCCCTAGGCTCGTGTTGCAGGTGAGTTTGAGAAATCTCACAACAAACCTAAAGGTAATCCCTAGGCTCGTGTTGCAGGTGAGTTTGAGAAATCTCACAACAAACCTCAAGGTAATCCCTAGGCTCGTGTTGCAGGTGAGTTTGAGAAATCTCACAACACACCTCAAGGTAATTTCTAGGCTTGTGTTGCAGGTGCGTTTGAGAAATCTCACAACACACCTCAAGGTAATCCCTAGGCTCGTGTTGCAAGTGAGTTTGAGAAATCTCACAACACACCTCAAGGTAGTCCCTAGGCTCGTGTTGCAGGTGAGTTTGAGAAATCTCACAACAAATCTCAAGGTAATCCCTAGGCTCGTGTTGCAGGTGAGTTTGAGAAATCTCACAACAAACCTCAAGGTAATCCCTAGGCTCGTGTTGCAGGTGAGTTTGAGAAATCTCACAACACACCTCAAGGTAATTTCTAGGCTCGTGTTGCAGGTGCGTTTGAGAAATCTCACAACACACCTCAAGGTAATCCCTAGGCTCGTGTTGCAGGTGAGTTTGAGAAATCTCACAACACACCTCAAGGTAATCACTATGCTCACTCTGCTCTCACTGGTAATGCATCCTCTGTGTCATCTTTTGAGTCGACTCAAAAGACACACTTTTTGGGTCAACCTACAGCTTAGCGTTGGAGATGGAATGTGAGGCAGTGCCAAGGCATGCGACTTCTTACTGTGCCGTGTGCAGAAATGCTCTCAGATTTTCTCATGTGCAGACAGTTGCATACGTGCACATGCGAGGTCTGCAACTGTGTTCTTTCCAAAAGCTGCATCTCCTGTCCCTATTTCCCAAGCCCCCTTCCCCTCTCACCAAATCCGTCCCCCATGTTCCTCACCCAGTTCCCGTTACTGACATTTCTTCCCCCTTCCCCCTGCCTCATTCCTCCACTTTCAACCCTCCTGCCAACCAATCTCTGCCAGCTGGCAATGATAAAGAACGAGCGGCTCGCAAAGAGGCTGGTGGGCGGCAGCATGTACGACTGTGTTTGCCGGTTTCAGCCGGGAACAAAGTCCGAGAGGGATGGGGAGTCCGAGAGGGATGGGATGAGATGACCGATGGGAAAGCTTGTTGACCTAGTCACTCTGTTACGAGGGGAAGGGGAATTTGTCAGAATATTATTCTTATGTTCTAGCCTGTAGTGGGGTGCTCTATAGCGAGTACAACCCTTCTAGGGTTTGCTATTTGTATCCCCATTTCTGCTAGTTCATTCCTCCTTCTTTCTTCTAATTTTGTCATGCTATCAGAGCAGGTCGATCCCTTTGGATCGATCCTGTGGGTGGGTTACCACCTCGCTTCCGCTGCTACCTTTCCCTTCCCGCCATGCGCCCCGAGGCGCGCGGCGGTTTTCCTTCCCGCCGTGCGCCCCGAGGCGCGCGGCGGTTTTTCTTCCCGCCGTGCGCCCCGAGGCGCGCGGCGGTTTTCTGCCCGCCGTGCGCCCCGAGGCGCGCGGCGGTTCATTGCCCGCTGTGCGCCCCGAGGCGCGCGGCGGGCTTCTCCCCTACGTCGCGGCCCCGCCCCGATCGTCGCGGCCCCGCCCCTCGACGCGGCCCCGCTCTACGTCGCGGCCCCGCCCTGGCCCGTCGCCGCCCGTGCGCCTGCCCGGCTCGGCCCCGCCCTTCGTCGCGGCCCCGCCCCGGCCCGTCGCCGCCCGTGCGCCTGCCTGGCTCGGCCCCGCCCTACGTCGCGGCCCCGCCCCGCTCGTCGCGGCCCCGCCCCTTGTCGCGGCCCCGCCCTCCAACCAGGCCCGTTTTGGGCCCCTTTCACCACACCGCCTCCCCCCCCCCCCCCCCCCCCCCCCCCCCCTGCCATTTCCCGTCGTCCGTCGTGGCGACCTGAGGGGGCCGCTTGCTGTGGGGTGGCGGGTATGGGGGTGGCCGGTGTGCCTTCCTCTCTTTCTCCTCCTCCTCCTTCGTCTCCCACTGCTGCAGCTGTCGCTGAGGGGGGTGGTTGTGTGGGAGACTAGGTTTAGGGTTTAAGGGGGGTGCGTGGGAGTGGAGCTAGCGGTGTAGCAGTGGGTGTGTATGAGGGGGGTGGGACTGTGTGTGGGAGGTTGAGCGGAGGTTGCCAGTTTGTCGTCCGCAGCACCTGTAGTCCGGGGCGCTGTCCCGGTAGCCCAGTGAGCTTGTCGCTGAGCCGGTCGCCTGTGGGTCCGTTGCCCGTCTGCCGCTACTTGAGCCGCGGGGCCTGTTACTCCCGTAGTCCGGGGCGCTGTCCCGGTAGCCACTGTGCTCGCCACTCCTGTTGCCCGTGTGTCTGCAGCTTCAGCCGCCGCCTTCTATCTCCTCTCCTCTCACTCTCCCTCCTCCTCCTCACTTGCCCGTTGTGACCACTGCTAGCTTTGCTCATAATTGTTAACTTTGAACTATTTCTTATTGACCTTGTGCTCAGAATGCGTGGTGACATTGTGATCCACCCTGAGCTTGTACTGTTTTGCCTGCTCTGCTGATTACACCCCACTTTGGCTATGGGGGTGTGTCAGAATATTATTCTTATGTTCTAGCCTGTAGTGGGGTGCTCTATAGCGAGTACAACCCTTCTAGGGTTTGCTATTTGTATCCTCATTTTTGCTAGTTCATTCCTCCTTCTTTCTTCTAATTTTGTCAGAATTTTGAATGGAGACAAAAGTCACTCTGTTACGAGGCTGGTGGGCAGCAGCATGTAAATCTGTGTGTTCCGATTTCAGCTAGGAAAACAAGGCTGGGAAAGAGGTGTCTGAGAAGAGCGATGGGAGGGCGTTCTGAGTAGGTGCCTCTTGGATGGTAAGATGGCTGACAGTTGTCAACATGGAGGTGGGAATGGGGACAAGTTGACTGACATGATATTGTTGACAGGTTGTTGGTATGGATGTGGGGATTGTTGGAAATCCGAATACAGTACCGTATGGCCCCGGATATAAGCGCAGGCCTATTATAAGCGCATGCGCTTGTATCTGGAGCAATGCGCTTATGGCCGATCCTCATTTATAAGCGCACCCCCTGTAAAACCTTGATTTATTATGAGCGCACGTATAATTCTAAAATTTAAACCAGATTAAAACGGTAGCGATTCCAAATTTTGCAGTGAGGATACAATTATTTTCGCTTCGATTGACTTTCGAGGACCTCACATACTGAGCGTCCAGTCAGTATGAGCTGGCATTTCTGATAGTGACGTGTTAATTTTCCTCTGTGCGCCGGCAGAAAATCGCTCACGCGCGAATCTGAATTGCGACTCGCTACCACTTCGATTCGATTGAAATCACAAGAACGAGATGTACAGTTTGGTGCCAATGAATTATAAATTTGCATTTGTTATTATATAAGCGCATGCGCTTATAAATCTGACTCAATTATAAGCGCACCCCCCCAAAAAACACGGTTTTATTATAAGCGCAGGTGCGCTTATATCCAGGGTATTACGGTATAACAAATACTGTATACCAGTGTGCTGTTTGGTTTTGGTGTAGTCCTCTTTATAAGCTTTCAAGCCCTACAATAATTGTCACAATTATTGTAGAGCCACAATTATTGGAGCCCTGCATTATTGGAAGGTAGAGGGTACAATTATTGGTACACCATTATTGATGTGAATGGGATCATTCTGGAGGGGTAGTTGGATGCACATATACCCCGATGTGTCACTCCATCGTCATTGTGTCATCATTCTACTTTTCAATTATCAATACAATATTTACATCTTGTTCTTTTCTACAAACACGTTTCCGCTGTTGGCAGGCCCTCAGATTCACTTTTAGGCACGTAAGGGTATCAGGGTCCCTCTGCCCCTAGACCCTGATCGTCAGGGTCGCCTAAAAAAAAAGCCTGAAAGTTCAGTGTTACTTAAAAAAAAAGTCTGATGCATCAGTGTTCCCTACAGAAAAAGGCTGATACTAGTACGGTAGTCTTTATTTTACTAGTAGTAAAAACACTAGGAAGGAAGCAAACAGCAGAACGGGATGTGAGGCTGGATGGCAGGTAGCACGGCTGGGAGGCGTGGATGCATCAGTGCTTGCCAGCACGACCTAGACCGCCAGAATCCCTCGCAGCGCAGCCTGCCAGCATCTCTGTGCTGCAACCTTGTAATTGGTCAAGTCACTTAATGTTGCAAATGTGGCCAATGAACGGACCAGGCGCGCCAACTAAGGGGCCATCAGTGTGGGCAAAATTGTCCGATAGTCAACGACAGGCCCTGCTGACACCGCGGGAATCTGATTGTCCCAGTACTTCCGGTCAAGTACACTCGTACCTAGTAGGATTCGCTTTCAGGGTCAAACTCGTTACAACGTAAAGGCATCAGTGTCACTTCAAAAAAATTGCTGAAAGTTCAGAGTCATGTGGCATGTGAAGGCTGAAAAATCCGCCCTAGGAAAAGCTGAACACTGGATTTTCAGGGTAGGTAAAAAAAAAACCCTGGAAATCAGGAATTTCAAGGTAAAATTCCTGATATCGTAGGGCCTGGTTGTTGGGCTGAGTGCCCCTTAGGATCTTTGGTAGGGTTAATCTCTGGGTAGAATGATGTAGTAGCGGAAGCGTTAACAAAGAGATTCTGAACCACCTTGCGCTAGTATGTGAGGGCAAAGTAAGTTGATTAAAACAAGGAGATACAAGATTTTATATATGATTACAAGGAATACGAAGAGATACGAATGATAACTGTTTGACTGTTGGTTGTTGCGGTTCGATACAGTGCGACTCGGGCAACTGCTCAATATCGAGTCAGTTGTGTGTCCTTGCTGTCGTGCTGCATTTGTCAAGTCAAAGATCACTGACCTTTGACCTTCGCGTAACCTCCAGCTGTTGCTTCAACTTCCGAGGGTTGACGCGCTGGTGCCTCGATATGCGTTGCTTCACTTGTGTCTTTAGTGTTCCGACACGACAGAGGCACTTAGGACCGATTGTTTCCAACACTCCCCTTCGCTTCTGGAGTGTCGCTGATGTGGCTCTGTCCAGTCAGCAGCATGCAATATTCGAATTTCTGCTTTCCGAGCTTCTTGGTCAGGTAGTCAGCTGCCATTTCGGACGTGGGGAAGTATGACAGCTCGAGCCTTCCCTTCTCGATCTCGTCCTTCACGAAGAAGTATCGCAGGGCGATGTGTTTCGTCCTGTTCGCAAAACCGTTCTTGTTGGCGATGCGAATTGCCGACTGGTTGTCGCAGAACAGGGTAAAGTTGGGTAACTCGGCTAACTTCACTTCTTCCAGTAGCTCGCGAAGATAGAGTCCTTCCTTGGTGGCTGAGCAGAGTGCAATATATTCTGCTTCAGCTGACGAGAGAACAATTAGTTCCTGCTTGCTCGATTGCCATGAGATAGGCCCGATAGGCTCGAAGCGATAGATGTAGCCGGTGCGTAATCGTCTGTTGTCGGAGTCGCCCGCGTGATCTGCGTCGACGTAGCCGATTAGCTTAGGTGGCGTGGTCGCGTTCTTGTGGTATGTTAGGCCGATCGTTGGCGTACTGACGAGATAGTGTAGAGCGCGGTCGAGTTCGGCCATGTGTTTTGCTTCAGGCCTTTTGAGATGAGTGGCGAGCTGGCTTGCGGAGTATGAGAGGTCGGGGCGGCAGGTAACGGCTGCGAAGAGAAGGCATCCTAGCTTTCTCTGGTAGTCGCGTATCCCGGCAGATTTGAGTAGAGCGGATCCTTCCTCGTGGTTTCCTGTCGCGTAGCAGTAGGGCGTAGAGATGGTGGTAGGCGTGAGCGTGAAGCGTTTGGCAATGGTGTCGGCGTACTTAGTGGCGTTGAGGTAAATCGCATCTTCTTCCTCTCGAATGTTCAAGCCAAGGTACTGTGTGACGGTAGAGGAGACCGTGAGTGTGAGGTCCCTCTGTAACTCCCCTTCGAACCAGGTGGTGATGTCGTCAGTGGAGCCGATGTAGAGTAGGTCGTCTACGTAGACGATCAGCAGAATGTAGTTGGTACCCTTCGTGAGTCGGTACATTCCTTGGTCGTGAGGTAGTTGGCGGAATCCGATGCGAATGAGGCGAGCGTGTAGGTACTGTTGCCATAGCCGCGGGGCTTGTTTGATTCCGTAGAGCGATTTCAGCAGCTGGCAAACCTGGTTGGGCTCTCCGTTAGTA